TTCCAGTCCCTATGTGCGTCGGTGATTGGTGTCCACCACAGTACAGTCAGTTCTGCTATAACGCGATAGTTGTGTTCTTGTAAAACATCGTGTTATAGAAATTCGCGTAATAGAAATAACAGGGCTTATGGAGAAAATAGGGTTAGGTGCAGATTGCTCGAAATCGAAAAAAATTTCGTAGTTAGCCTAACACAAAGGATAGCACAGTCTAAATAAATGTTACATTCATATCTAATAATGAAATCATACAGTAAATGTTACACTTTACCCTGAAAAAATATGAATATAATTTGATGGGGGAGAAGGGTGATGTTGAGGAGTCATGCAGACAGGAGTTGACAGTTTTCATCATCATCAGTATCATCATCATCAGGTGCAGTTTTTCTTTAGGTCCTCATATATTGACAAGGCTTTCTCTTTAATGGTGAGGAAGCTGGTCCCAGATCGCTTTTTCGTTTGATCTTCTATCCAAACACTTAGAAGCCATTCCATCTCCTCAAGTTCCTTTGGCCGTGATCTCACACTTTTGCTAGCACTCAAGGTTTTTCCAGCAATACAGCTTGCTTTAATCTTTGCTGCATTGTCTCTAATGGTGCGTAAAGTAGATTCTTTTATTCCCGTTGCATGCACAATATCGCATGTTCTTTCCTTATTTTCAAAACAATTGACAACATCAAGCTTTTCTTCAAGTGTTATAGCCTTTCTTTTACGATCACCACCGGAAATGCGATCACCAGAACGCTTCCCAGAGATGTTCTTCTTTTCCATAGTCACAAAATTGGAGAAACAGTAATCAGAAATCACTGAGGACGCTTAAAAACTTCACACGTGTTTCAAACTGATAGTGTGGAGTAAACAGAGCGCGCGGGTCTAAAACGCTACGTATTTTGTTTGTCTCTCTTATTTAAAATTTTACAATTTACATATACAGTAATACCCCGCTTAACACGGTTTCGCTTAGCGCGATTTCACATATACGCGGTGCCTCGCCAGAGCTGAACTTTCACTTAACGCGGGTTTTTTCCACGTATACGTGCAGAGTGTCCGGCTTGAGAGGTATTTTTAGATTCGCCCCAACCCCCACCCGCCACCCTACCTGACTGCCTGCCTGCCTGTTTTAGCTCATAAAATTCATACAAATTACCCGGCCAGAATATAATTTACATTGCTGGAATTCTTACAATATGACGATCATTTTGAATATAAACATCATAGATTTTGCATTAGACATACAAATTTTAGATATAATGTTTACTCTGAGTAAATATGTTATTTTTGTGCAAAATATATGACATTTGTATTCAAAATATTCCTGGTCTTACAAGAAATCCAGCAATGTCAATTATATTATCCTAACTTTAGTTTGAGGTATTATTTATTACTAAAATGGTAAATATTCTGGTTTTCCCACACATCTGGTAGGGAGGGACTGACCGACCATCTGTTACCGTGTGAAGAATATTTTTTTTTTTTATTAACTGAAGATATTTGTTTTAGCTCATAAAATTCATACAAATTACCTGGTCAGAATATAATTTACATTGCTGGAATTCTTATAATTTGATGATCATTTTGAATATAAACATCATAGATTTTGCATTAGACATACAAATTTTAGATGTAATGTTTACTCTGAATAAATATGTTATCTTTTGTGCAAAATATATGACATTTATATTCAAAATATTCCTGGTCTTACAAGGAATCCAGCAATGTCAATTATATTATCCTAACTTTAATCTGAGGTATTATTTAATACTAAATGTTAAAATTTAGTTTTTTCACCCAACATCTCTTGAAGGGAGGATTGGTGGGGGTGGGGGGAGGGTTGGGACGGACCGCGCGGTTGGAAGAGGGGGAAGGCAAGGTGGGGTACTTTGATTGACAGATAGTGTCTGAAGAATATTTTTTTTTTTATTAACTGAAGATATTTGTTTTAGCTCATAAAATTCATACAAATTACCCGGCCAGAATATAATTTACATTGCTGGAATTCTTACAATTTGGTGATCATTTTGAATATAAACATCATAGATTTTGCATCAGACATACAAATTTTAGATATAATGTTTACTCTGAGTAAATATGTTATCTTTTGTGCAAAATATATGACATTTATATTCAAAATATTCTTGGTCTTACAAGGAATCCAGCAATGTCAATTGTATTATCCTTACTTTAGTTTGAGGTATTATTTATTAAAATTTAGTGGTTTTCCCCCCAAAATTTCTCAGAGAGGGAAGAGCCAGCGGTGTAGTGTGAGAAGAGGGGGAGGGAGTTGAGTCCATTATTTGAATGGACATTAACTTGGCGACTGTATTTCTCTATTTCTCTTAAGTATTAATTGTGTGCGTGTACCATCATAAAATTAAGATGTTATTTTTACTAGAACTTAGGTATTGTGTCGGAAAAAGTGGAGTTTGGGGGTCGGGCCAGTTTCTATTGGAATTAATCCCATATGTTCTGTTGTTCACTTAGCGCGGTTTTCGCTTAACACGGTACCCTGTGGGTTTTATTGACCGTGTTAAGCGGGGTACTACTGTACTGTACAGGTACACTGTATACATAAATATTACATAAATTATTTCTGCAATTGTTCACAAACAAAACACATAAATTAATTGAAGATGTGATGTCGAACGTGAACTGTAAACATTGCATAACCCCGCGCCAAGCCACAACACTGTACAGTACAGTACACTTTAAATGCTATGTATTTAGTTTTTCTCTTTTATTTAAATTTTTACAATTTTCATATATACAGTATATGTACATTGTAATTTACATATTATTCATATTATGCTACAGCGCCCACAAAACATGAGAAACGTTTGAGTCCCCCAGTAGAGATGTCCGTTCTCTATCCACTCCAGGATGTCCTAGTCCTCCGTTTTCTTTTTGTGTACTCGCTCAGGGACTCAAGTATTTCTGTATATAACACAGGATGATAAAGGAATTTGAAATTATGAGTGAATGAATTTATTATACAGTGATCAATTAACATAGTTTTGATGTGTTTAAGTAGTATTCAGGCGCCTTCAGCCTAGTAATGTTACGACATTCGTATCACTCACTCTAAACCACGAATTCCATCCATACAGAGAGAGAGAGAGAGAGAGAGAGAGAGAGAGAGAGAGAGAGAGAGAGAGAGAGAGAGGCCAAGCGCTCTGTTTACGTCACACACACATAAATATTACATAAATTATTTCTGCAATTCTTCACAAACAAAACACATAACTCAATTGAACATGTGATGTCGAATGTGAACTGTAAACACTGTGTGTGATGTAAACAGAGAGCGGGTGTAAAACGTTACGTAATTTGATTTTCTCTTTTATTTTTAATTTTACAATTTACATATACTGTACATGTATACTGTATACATAAATATTACATAAATTATTTCTGCAATTCTTCACAAACAAAACACATAACTCAATTGAACATGTGATGTCGAACGTTAACTGTAAACACTGCATAATCCCACTCCAAGCCACAACAACCGTTAGAGCAAACGCGTTCGCGTTTTACAAATATTGTTCCTCTATTCATCAATCGCATTAGAGCCAATTCGCGTTGTCAGAACACGCGTTATAGCAGAACTCACTGTACAAGGTAAATTCTTAGCCTAATGAAACTTCAGTCTTCACCTTTCAACTATATTCATAGAACTTATAGTATATCACTTTCTAATATGGGAACTTTATTGATTACATGCATCAGACTCAGTTATATGAACACAGACTACCAATCTATTTTTTTTTTATTATGGGGGGGATAGCTCACCCGGGCACAAGTCATCCACCCACAACGGAGCCAAGGGGGGCAAAAAAATAAGAGCAAAAAGAAATTGAAAATAGAAAAGTAAAAGATTATATTAATCTACACCACGAAGGTGCTGGAAAACCAGGTTTTTGAAGTGAGACTGATTATATGAGTATGGAAACACAGAAGAAGGCAAAGCATTCCACAGTTTAGCTGTGAGGAAAAAAGGATGTACTATAACAGGTTATTCTAGGGTGACCAACATCCACAGAAAAACGGTGGGCAACTCGGGCAAGACCAGTGTTACAAGCCCACAGCCTTGCTGGCGGTACACAGGATGCCAACTCGACGGAACATTGCCCATTAAAGTACCTGTAAAAGAGAGAGAGTGAAGCAACATTGCTGCGAAGATTCCCAGGCCGGTGGAAGTTGTTTGGACTTATTTCCTAACCCCCATTAGTCCCTGTTCACCTAGCATTAAAGTAGGTACCTGGTGTAAATCAAAAGTTGTGAATTCGTATTCAGGGACAAGTTGTTGGAGCTTCCAATAACTTGACGACATAAACCACTGACTCTTCAGGCTTCTACGTCCTTAACTCATGAGACATAAAGGCAAGCATGAACTTAGCATGTTTCCCTGTTGGGCGCTGTAAACGCTTCTGCGCTTCACCTTACACAAGGATGTAGCGGGTGCTCAATAAAAAATAAATAAAAAAATAAAAAACTAATTGCTGCAAAGAGAAAGGGAAGAAAGATTATCAACTAAAGGAGGAGAGTCAATAAGACGAAATGACTTTGATTCCACCCTATCTAACAGTTGGACAGAAGAAGAGCCACCCCAGATGTGAGAGCGGTACTACAAGTTAGGACAAATGATTCCTTTATATACTTAAAGCAACTGCTTAGGCGTGAAGTAACTACGGTATCTGTACAGCAGTCCCAGCTTTTGGGATGCAGCTTTAGCAATGTTGTGGATGTGTGGCATCCATGACATATTAGAGGAAATGGTGAGGCCTAGCATATCTATTCTAGAATTTGGCAGAATGATTGCATCCTGAAATGTGATTGTCTGTTAATACTGCAGCATCCAAGTAGATGATTTGGTTGGTTTTGATTCATATAATTTTCATATGATTTCCATTCACATATTATATATTAATTTATTCTCGAGTTATTTTTGACCATCACAACACTAGGCTTTCATAACATATTTCCTTTATAATTTTATTCAACAGGTATGATATGGCAGAGCTTCAGATGCGTTTAAAGCAATATGACAAAGCTGAGAAAACAGTTTCTCAGGCTCTGGAATTTGAAAATTACAACTCTGTTGATCTCGACTCCATGCTTACACAAGCTAAGCTGCTAAATCTTCTGGCTAAGGTAAAATTATAAATTGTCTTTTTCTTCTTCCTGTTTATCTGTTTAGAGTCTTTAGTTTACTACAGTACTACAGGTATAGTCAATAAGTGATCATCTTCAAACTATTTAATTCTGTCATGTTTGTTGATTCTACCATATAAAACCAATAAGACATCTCCCATTACCATTTTGGGTGCTTCTTACTCGCTTCTTCATCCATGTCCTCACAAATTGGATGCTAGTGAAAGTGAGTGCACCACTGTAATTGACCCTTACCTATGCTGTATTGGAATTTGTTCCAAATGATCCTATACAATAATTAATCCAATTTAGTGACACATAACTATACTGTAGTGATAAACACAAAATATCCTGCATTTATTTCCCAGTCAGAATGTTACTGCATCAACTTTTGGCTTCCATGTCTCTTTTTGTCCAGGTGTGTTAGGGAACTAGATATAAATTGACCAACTGATCATATTGCAGAAGTGATTGGAGACTCACTCAGTTGACAAGTTGACTTGTCATTCAGGACTATTTCCTCTTCCCAGGGCACATAACTTGCCAACTCGTTGGTGAATTTCATGTGTAGCCATCACCCTTGAAATATGAAGCAAATTTTCCATCAAGACTGCAATTTATATGAGCAATCATCACTTACTAGTGTCAGATATTTTATATATCCATTAACAACTGGTATTATGGTATGATGTTGCTCTTCTCAGTGTTAATTAATTTTTCTTTTTCCAAAACATAACTTTTGAATGGAAGAAGGAATTTTTATGAATCTATAATTATGTATCCTTATACAAATTGCACAAGACCAAGTCTCTCAAATTTCTTAGTCACAGGAAGGTCAAAGTCTAAAATGCAGAACACCATATACAGAGGTCAAGGTATTAGTTGAAGGGCAGAGGTCAAATAAGGCACTGTGCATACATACACTCAGACAAATTATGTAATTTTCTTCAGTCCATAAATATTGATATAAATTGATCCCACCATCATTTTCTTGATCTTTTGGGGGGCTCTTTAATCTCATGATAAAGTTGAATCATATAAAGTTAAAAGAAAACAATAAATAGAGCACTTATTTTTTAAAAGTTAATATTTTTTCCAACCCTCAAAGAAATTCAGGGGGTCACCAATATTAGGGTCTTCATTATAAGCAGTTTTGCACATAAGTCGTCAAATAATTGTGGACTTACACATAAAAAGTCCCCGAAGTTAAGAGGATTCTAAGGCTGAAATCCATCAATCATTGGGAGCATTATTTTGAAGTGCTCCAAGAACTATAATATCATTTTTGTTGTGCTATTGATGACATTGATTGACTATTTTTGTAGCCATCAGTTCCAAATCAAAACAAGGTGGTGTAATGGCTAAAAGGTAGTTTAGTAGCTGTGAATGGATGTGAAATTAGATCTTTTATGTCGTAAGAAAAGTGGTGAGCGTGTTTCAATGAACCACAGGCATTGGGCGGTTTCAACACGTATTCGACGATTCACGGTAAGCAGTTGGTGGCTATGGTGACTAGCTTGTGAGCCTCTCCTGTAGCTCAGCGAGTTACCCCACGCACCTACAGCATCTCCTCTCCTGTTCGCGCTCAGCCATTACCTGTGACGCAGCATCTCAGGTTGTACTCTCAAAACTTTAATGTTTCTGTGTGAAAATGGCCCCTAAAAGACTGCCTAGTGTCATTGCTGGTGATGCTAGTGGAGTGAAGTGTAAAAGGCAGAAGTCAGTGATATCCCTGACAAAGAAAGTTGAATTATTAGACAAGATAAAGGAGGGGATGAGTGATGCTGTGCTGGTCAGTCGTTTCGTGTGAACGAATCCACAGTGTGGTACATAAAAAAGAATGAACAAGCAGTTCGTGATTCTATTCGTACAGTGCTTTGGCAGGTGCTAAAGTGGCGCAGGTTGTTCGTGACAAGAACATAGTAAAAACAGAAAAAAACACTGAACATTTGGATTGAGGACCTCCTTCCAACAGTGATCCTGATGATCCCCCTATGCTACAGTAACCAGATGTCTCCCTATGTACAGTACACTACTTCATCAAGATTCAAACTTCCAAATGCAAATGTAAATAGTATTGGTGACTTAAGTTTCTCATACACAGTATAGTTATATAATAATACACTAAGGTAATATAAGTTGCTATTCGCGGTTTTGCCAATTCAGGGCATTCTGAATCTAACCCTCGTTAATAGCAAGGGTTTACTGTACCTTAAAGAAGTCATAAAGTTAAATAATTTCATAAAATGATGTGTAATGAAATGTTTAACAAATATTTCTAAGGTATATATCGTCTCTATAAATGTTAAAAGATATCAAATTAAACTTTATGAATGTTGCTTACAGTATGATGGTCCCAATTAGACCCTATTCCTATTAATTCCACTTTATAAGTGGTGTCATTATCTGTGGCTTTTTTCTGGTCTCTATTAACCACTTATAAAGAAGACCCCTTGTACTCTTCAAACGTTGTTTTGACTGATGTTGCTTCAGTATATTGTCGTGAGACACACTTTATGTCTATTACTTTAAGAGGGAGGTACTTATTGAGTTTAATGTTATACAGACTAGGTCACAAACTTAAATCTTTCGTATTAGATTCCAACTATGTTTGGACATATCTATCCACATACAGTACAGTACTCTCGTTGTCCTTTACCCCTGATTATATTTTCACAAGAGTTGGTTGTTGTCCTCTTCATATCAATATTGTACTGATATATTACCATCATCACAATGATGGCACATACAGGTAACTCGCATTTTACACGCGTTTGATTGAAGCTTTTGAGGAATAATGCGATTGTTCAATTAATACCCAAAGCTAATTTACGCCAAGACCTATTTTTGAAATAACATGCTGAAGACAGTTTAAATTTGCCGCGCATATTCGCCTGGTTGCCTGGCAGTGGAGTCGCCTGTGATGCCTGGTGAGGTGCACGCATCGCTTTCTCAGTTCACACCAGCACTACTTTTTCTGTGCTCTCATTTTCATTGTGTGTTTATCACGTACCTTTTTAGTGTTAAACGCTGTTTTCCCCATTGACCATATCTGGAAAATGTCCCTCTGCCTCCTCTGGGGCACCTAAAGCTAAAAAGGCACGAAAAACAATCGCAATGGACGTGAAATTAAATGGGATCACCTGCCTTCATAGAGGAGAGCTTGTCTCGGTGGTTGGCAACGTGCTTGGTATAAGTGAGAGAACTGTTCACTCCTGTGTGGTATATGATGGTTCCCCAACCTGTACCATATACATATATTCTTATGGAAAAATTATGTTTAATTTACGCATTTTTGAGTTAAGCAATGATTTTCATAAACGTAACCCCCGCAGAAATGAGAGGTGTGTGTACATACAGTATGCCATGTGAAATGTAATTTTACTTAAAGAAATAGATCAAAACATGGCTGACACATTTTCATATGCTCAATACTTATCAGTAACCTGTTAATTTAGTCTTATAGCAATAACAAGTGATCGTTGGCTTTCCTGCCTGGTGGCGAGTCCGGTGGTACAGTTTACCAAAGCGTGAAAGTTCGAACGCCAGAGCTATTAGCGCCAAGAAATCGCCGCCGCTGACAGCGCATAGCGACATCGCTTTCCAGCATAAATGAAATGGTTAATTAGTGCCTTCCTAAAGAAACCTTCACATGGGACCAGGTTTGTTCCGCTCTACCTAATTTTTTTGCATTTTTCCACCAAGTTTGATGAAAATGATTGTGCGCCGCTGCCCAGAACAGACACACACACAGACACACGGCTATTCCTATAGTATATGAGATAATTTTGGTCGTGGTTGTTATAATCATGGTCGTGGTTGTTATAATCATGGTCGTGGTTATAATGATCAGTCGTGGTTGTTATAATCATAGTCGTGGTTGTTATAATTATGGTCGTGGTTGTTATAATCATGGTCGTGGTTGTTATAATCATGGTCGTGGTTGTTATAATCATAGTCGTGGTTGTTATAATGAGGGTCGTTTGTTATGATCATGGTCGTGGTTGTTATGATCATGGTCTGGTTGTTATAATCATGGTCGGGTTGTTATAATCATAGTCGTGGTTGTTATAATCATGGTCGTGGATGTTATAGTCATGATCGTGGTTGTTATAATCATATTCGTGGTTGTTATAATTAAGGTCGTGGTTGTTATAATCATAGTCGTGGTTGATATAATTAAGGTCGTGGTTGTTATAATCATAGTCGTGGTTGTTATAATCATGGTCGTGGTTGTTATAATCATGGTCGTGGTTGTTATAATCATGGTCGTGGTTTTTATGATCATGGTCGTGGTTGTTATGGTCATGGTCGTGGTTATTATAATTATGGTCATGGTTGTAATAATCATTGTCGTGGTTGTTATAATCATAGTCGTGGTTGTTATAATCATAGTCGTGGTTGCTATAATCATGGTTGTGGTTGTTATAATTAAGGTCGTGGTTGTTATAATCATAGTCGTGGTTGTAATAACCATGGTCGTGGTTGTTATAATCATGGTCTTGGTTGTTATAATCATGGTCGTGTATGTTTTAGTCATGATCGTGGTTGTTATAATCATATTCGTGGTTGTTATAGTTAAGGTCGTGGTTGTTATAATGATAGTCGTGGTTGTTATAATTAAGGTCGTGGTTGTTATAATCATAGTCGTGGTTGTTATAATCATGGTCGTGGTTGTTATAATCATGGTCGTGGTTGTTATATTCATGGTCGTGGTTGTTATAATCATGGTCCTGGTTTTTATAATCATTGTCGTGGTTGTTATAATCATATTCGTGGTTGTTATAATCATGGTCGTGGTTGTTATAATGATGGTCGTGGTTGATATATTCATGGTCGTGGTTGTTATAATCATAGTCTTGGAGTTATAATCATGGTTGGGTGATATAATCATAGTAATGGTTGTTATAATCATGGTCGTGGTTGTAATAATCATGGTCATGGGTGTTGTAATCATGGTCGTGGTTGTTATAATCATGGTCGTGGTTGTTATAATCATG